GGATATAAGGTGGGTTTTGGTACAGAAGATCAGCAGCACTAAGCTTTATGTAGAGGTGGACCACAATTTGATTTTGTTTTTGACAGTATTCCGTATTAATAACCATATATGTATTCTGACCAAGGCTTCCTAGACCGTAATTACGCACATGCTTATTTTAAAAACAAGTCTTATTTTATTGCAGCATTGTTTTCATTCCCATCCGGTAGTGAATCTCAAACAGTTCCTCGAGATAAGCACCCACCTTTCTTTTCTGTGAAGTGCTGCCAATAACAGAGGTGTCAAATGAACTAGGAAAAAAACCCAATTGATGTACAAAGAGCTTCAAGAATGAATCTGAACCGAATGAATGACTTTGCTTCCCACAAAGGTTTTGTCATCTTTGCCTGTCCTTTATATCTTATGGGAGGGGCAGTCACCTCCCAGCCTTGCTCCCGAGTTGCCCCTTTTGTTTCAGCTGCTGTTGCCTTCTAGCAGCTCTGCACACATGCACACTGGGAATAGGCTCCCCTTGTTCCTCTGCCTTGCTGTTGCCAGACTCTGGAGGCTCCAGGCAGCACCCCACTCCCAGATGGTCCTGGCCCCATCCCTGCATCGGACGCAGGACCCTCATCCGAGTCCTCTCCAGACTCCTGGACAGATCCCCTTTCTTCCCCACTGTCTGATTCCACTGCCGTCTGCACAGGCTGCTGGCGAACCACTATCAACTTCTCCTCCTCCTCCTCCTCCTCCTCCTCCTCCTCCTCCCCCCCCTCCCCCCCCCCCCCCCCCCCCCCCCCCCCCCCCCTCCCCCCCCCCCTCCCCCCCCCCCCCCCCCCCCCTCCTCCTCCTCCTCCTCCTCCTCCTTTTAGCCATTATCTATCCACTGCAGGATGAAGGCCTCTTCCACATTTTTCCAACCAATATGGTCCTGAGCTTTCTTTTGCCAATTGGTCCCGTAATATTTGCTGATGTTGTCTATCTTGTTTTAGGTCTCTTTGGTGGACACTTTTATCAAGTTTATATAACAATGATATGAACTCATTGTGGAACTTTTAAATTCTCAGTCCTTTCCTAATTAGCATTTAAATTATCACAAGTCTCTTCCTTTTGCTGCACCACTTGAACAGAGCCACTTTCTCTGTAGTCATGAACAGTTTCATTGTAGTCCACCTAGCCCATATCTACTCAGAAGTAAAACCTATTGTGCTGGTGAGAGTTACTCGCAAGAAACTCAAGATAAGATTGTAACAATGCGGCTTCAGTTTGATTACCCTTTCCTGGGATTTAATAGAACTTGTTTCTTGAACGTTGCATAATGAATTTCATAGAATTTGTTTCTCGAACGTTGCATAATGAATTTAATAGAATTTGTTTCCAGAATGTTGCATAATGAATTTAATAGAATTTGTTTCCAGAATGTTGCATAATGAATTTCATTGAATAACCAGGGAACAAGTAGCAATCTATTCAACAGAAGCTTCGCCTATTTTAATGGTGCATATGATGTGCTGCTGTGTTATCTTGACCTGCATCAGTTAATTTGCATTCATCATAATGATTTTGTATTTTAAAGACCATGGGCAGCATGGTCTAGTACCTCTCTCGGGTTTCCAACTTTACTTGAATACATTAGTACTTTCAAGTCTGTCACTTAGAATAGCTGTCAGAGGCAGATCAGGAGTTAGCAAAACCAGAACTGTGCATCTTATTTCTCTCCCTTCTTCCTTTTGAAGATAGATCCCGCTTTTTGGTTCTTCTCTCTTAAAGGAATATAGAATTTGAATGGATGCACTTTTCCAGTGAGCTCACATTTCTGGACGACTTCATCATTTTCTTATGATGCTTCAGTCTCAAGCTACATTCACTTATTGCATTCTAGCAATAACACAGACTTACATATTGCTTCACAGTGCCTTTATAACCCTTTCTAAGCAGTTTACAGAGTCAGTCTATTACCCCAAACAATCTGGGTCTTCATTTTACCGACCTCGGAAGGATGGAAGGCGAAGTCAACCTAGAGCCGGTCAGGATCGAACTGCTGGCAGTCAGCAGAATTAGCCTGCAATACTGTAGTCTAACCATTGCGCCACCACGGCTCTCAAATTACAACCCCAGTTGAGACCAGAGTTACTGTATGCAGTCATTAAGTGAGTGATACAGTTGGTAAGCTAACTTAGCTTCCTCTGTTGACTTTGTTTCTGGATGGATAGGTTGCAAATGGGGAATCACATGGCTCCTGGGATGCTTTCACCCATTAAAAATACACGCCAGTTACCAGCTGGTTAAATTTTGATCATGTGACTATGGGAATGCTGCAGTGGTTGCAAATGCAAGGACTGGTTGTTGCTTTTTTCAGTGCCATTGTAACTTTGAACAGCCACTAAACAAATAGTTGTAAGTCAAGGACTACCTGTAGTAATTCAGTATGGGTTTATAGATGTCACTGTTGACAATGTTTCCAGTGAAATAGGAACTTCACCTAATCTGATCATTTTATAAATCTCTTTAAAGAAATCAAAGTTGATTTCTTTACTTAATGACTTAATGACTGCTGTGATTTTCTTAACAACCATGGCAAAAGAAGTCACAAAATTGGCTGTGATTCATTTAACAACTTCTGGCTCAGCATACAGTAACTCGGGTCCCAACTGGGGTTGTAATTTGAGAGCCGTGGTGGCGCAATGGTTAGACTGCAGTATTCATGGTAGAGGTGAAAAGTTCTGAAACATGCCTCCTTGACTTTCTATTTCTTTTTTATCTGTGATTTTATTCTTTTAAGATCTTTCTTAAGTCAATGTGCTGATAAATGCCTAATTTTGAGGAAAAAACAAGTTTGATAGCCTTGTAATTTTCAGTTGGCTCAGTAAATTTGATTCTCTGCCACATCCTGGGTGTTTACTAAATTTAGGGCAAAATTGTTTTCCTTTTGTTTGCTTCTCTGGTCACCTGTTTTTGCCACTAGGGTGAAGGGTTGCCCCCAATATTTCTGAGCCTGAACATCATCATCCACAGGAATTCGTGGATTTATCATTTTTCCTTAATTAGCTTATTCTGTGCTCTGGATTTGAAGTGGGATGGGGTGGGATACGACAGGGTTAACTACCGGCTCAGGATTTACGAGCTTCCCTGTAGGCTGAGCCTCAGAGAGAGCGGTTCAACCCAGGCCTTCAGCAGCGCTACTTGCCTGACAGACAGTTGCGGGACCACACCGGAATTCCTCCTCCCAGAGGATATCCCTGACAAATTGAAGGCCTGGAGGGACATGGCAACTTGAAGAGGCATTGCAGCTGGGGCACAGTAGAAGTTGATGGCTAGGCAGCCTCCACAATCTGACCTCGATTCTCACTCGATTTAGTTACTACGCAGAATAGACCTTCATTACCAGCAGGTACCTCCTTTAGGGGAGTATTATATAATCAGTTACACATTCACATGATGCACAGGATGAGGGAGAACTAGAGACCAGATGGAACAGGTTGAGGAAGGGTCTACTCACAACAGTGACCAAAATCTGTCAGAGGCGGATCCCCTAAAAAGGGGGGGGCATGTCAAACATTGAAGGCATTGAGTCAGGCCACCGACCTTCAGGTCTGTTTCGCCATCAGACTTTTTCAAGTCTCTGTTGTTTCCAAAAAAAAAAAAGCCTACTTCCTGCCTTGATATTCTGCTAAATTTCTCATCACCACGATAGTAGATAAAACAATAATGGCAATTATCATCCTCCTCTGCAATTCCAACGGAAGCAGAAGAGGCTCTCAAGTCAAAGGATATACAGGGTCGAGTTGTCCCCATGTAGGGCATGTCGATCTGATGTGAGGGCCGTAAGAGCGGAGTTGGCCTTTTTTTTACTAGGTCGTCTCTCAGGTTGCTCCGCCATCTGAGGGAGATTATCTCAAATTCCAATATCAGGGCACACAAGGACGCCGCAAAACTCTATTAAATTATCTGCTCAAGCCAGGTCATCTCAGGTTACTCCTCGCCTACTGCTATGGCTCAGACATTGGCAAGCCGATATCACACAACTAATGGAAGCTTGCTTCCTCCCCAATATAGGGAGATAATTTGGTTGGTGGTGCCCTGACCTATCTCTGATAGAGACTAGAAGCAGAAAATAAGTTCCTCTCTTTTCATAGACCCCAAAATAGTCCTTCCCAACTTTTTGGAGGGTTCTTTCATTCCCTCTACCAGGGACTTTTTCCTCTCCAGACTCCAGGGACCGTCTGGACGCATGAATCACCAACAGTCAGATAGTTTCCGATCTGGAGATAGATACTGAAAGTGGGGAGGGCAGATTCTAAGGCAACACACAGTTTCCATGCTTGACTTCTTCCATTCAGTACTTCCTTCATTATATAATTCCTTGCTTGAATTAAGCCCAACTTGTTCATGACCTAAGAACCGAGGAATTTTCATATAACTCAAACCAAAATTTGTATTATTACTACGCAAATCCTTGGAAAGAAATCCTTCACAACTCACAAGAACTTAGACAAAGCATGTTTCTTGGAATAATTAAAGCAGGTGCATGTTTTTCCAGACTCATTTAACTGCTTCATCAATTCAACTACTTATAAATGCTTAATAAGCAACTGGGGGTAGGTTACAGAGCAGCTGTGCAGGCTTCTGGAAAGGCATAAAAGTTTGGCTGTAGATAATAAACCCAAGCGAAGCCTTTGAAACAGGCTCTCTGCAAGAATCTCTGTATGTGGATGAAACATCTGTCTTCAAAGTATTAAAACAGCTGCATCCTTTGAAAGCTGACCTTGTGCTTGGCACCAGCAGAGGAAAACATATGCAGGTAGAGACAGCCAGGAATAGCAGTGTGAGCCTTGCAACCATGGTATTATTTTAACATTTTGAAAAAAAAAGTGTTTTCTCTGGGATATGACGTGCTTTGGAAATCACCGGTTTTGAATAGTTTGCACAGTCAAGGATTGAGGTCATTCATTTCTCTGAAGTGTTTTCTTGTGGGCATTTTAAATAATTAGAAGGACTTTCCTCCCTGTTTTTAATCTTAGAGCCCAGGCAGAAGCATCGCCTTCTGTGAATCATGACATGAACGTGACGGATGAGAAGATGAAAAACAGAGAAGTCGCGAATGAAGGAAGCGATAATGTTTCTCAGGCAGAAGGAACGAAGAAAAAACAGCGTTCTGGATTTCGAGACCGTAAGGTATGTCTTTATTAAACTGCATTTATTTGAATTAGTGGTCAAGAGCAACCTTTGGACAGGTCATTTATTTTTATTTTTTATATCGTGCCTTTAGTATTTTTACAAATAACCCAAGGTGACAAATGCAACCAACACTCCTTCTTCCTCCTATTTTTCCCACAACATCAACAACCCTGTGAGGTAGGTTGGGCTAAGAGAGAGTGACTGACTGACCTAAAGTCATCACCCAGCTGACTTTCATGGGTATGGTGGGGGTTGAACTCACAGTCTCTTGCTTTCTAGCCTGGTGCATTAACCTCTAATAATCCCTCAAATATTTTTGACGATTACAAGGATAGAAAAGAACTGTTTAAACCAGGATGCAAATCAAATGAATCATTATTCATACATTTGGATGGATTTTGGATTTTTTTTTCTTCTGAATTTGGATGAGAGAATTGTGGAATCTTAGTTTTGATAGGTGACATTTAGGCCATGAAGTCTAAACCCTTGCTCAGTGCAGGAAATTAGATAATTTTTGCATTAAATGGCTGTCCAATCTCTAACTGGGTGTATTTAATGAGAAGAAAGCCCACCATCTATTTTGATAATTCATTCCACTGTGGAATTTGTCATATTATTAGAGGTTTCTTCCCCTAATATTCAATTGAAGTCTTTAATTTAGATTAACTATTCTACATTTTGGAATCATAAAAATCTTTACTTTCTTCATGCGCTATCTTTTTAGCTGTTTGAAAATTAAGATGGAATATGTCTAGTCAAATTCAAATTCATAATCATTTTCTCTTGTTCAATTAAATTCAGTTTGTGTTTAGCTATACTTATCTGATGTTGCAGTTTTGAATCTTTTGGGGGATTCTGCAATCAACTGCTTACTACGCCATGGTTTTTGATAAGTGCTATTATCAAACCAGGATTCCCTATCCTCTCTCTGACTGTGCACTTTAAACATCATTGTCTTTATAGTACATTCCAGAAGCTTCCCAAGTATCAGGATTGAACTGACTAGTCCCTGTTTTTGTCTTTTTTGAAAATCGGGAGAACTTTGTTTCTCCTCCAATCATTTGGTACTTCAGTAATTATTCAAGATTTTGTAAAAGTAATATGCAAATGCTCAGGCCATCATGCAGTTTTTTTAGTACCATAAGATATAGGATCTGAGAATTTAAATTCTTTCAGAGTAAACAGGAACTCCTAATCACCTTTGTATCAGTCTCAAAATTCAATCCTTTCCCTTCTTAGAAAGGAATGAGGCTTTGGGCTTGGGGGTGAAGGAAGCATATGAGGGAATATATTGATTTTATTTTTCATCAGCCAGTTGAGACTCCTGGCACAAAAGAGAATTCTGGAGGTCTACAGGTGACCTTTTATTCATTTGTTCTCATTGAAATGGTTCTCTCTAAATATGTGTGGGTGACTTGCAAGATTGTGTCAATGTAAGCCTTATCCAAAAGTAGAATTTGTTCATCTAATTCTGTTTCTTGGTTTACCTGGGAGGGCTGACATCAATCTTGCAAGACTGTGAAAGCACACACTTTTAACTGCTTGATTCAGTAGGCCGGGTCCTTCCTATGTTTCTTTCTCTGACTGTTAAGCCCCTGGGGTGTCCTGCCTCTGGTTCTCTGATTGCTTTCTAGGCAGTATCTCTTCCCTTCTTTCCCCAAGGTCATAAAGACAGTAGTCATCAACCAATGTTGTTATTATTAAGGAGTTATTTTGTCCAATCATTTCCAAATCAAATTATTCTATCTCAGCAGTATGTCTCCTATGGGGAACAAACAGGCCTGGAATGACCAATTAGCTTACCAAAAGCAAAGTCATGGTGCTGGCACAGAAGATCACGAGTTGCTTGGATAAGTCTCTCCAACCACGCAACTTCCCATAGCTTCTCTGCACTTGTGGTGTGCCTCACAAGCAACCCACCGACTCTCGTGCATCCTCCCCAAGCCCCACTTTACTCACACCGTGTTCATCCTACCATTGTGCACCTTGTCAAGCCTAGTTGCACTCATTGCTACATCTTTCTGGTCACCTATACACCCTCATGCACCTTTCCCCATCTGGCATCAGCCACCCCAAGGCTCATGCTGTGCAGGAGATGACTATGCTGAGCTTGAGGGCAGAGTCAAATGGATTGTGATGACCCGGGGTGTGGCATGAAGGCAACACAGCCAGAGAACAGGTATGCATCCCTTTATTTGCTCCAACTTTGCCCCCAACGTCTCGTTTACTCTCCAGCCTGGAGAAAAGCTCTCCCACGAACCTGCAATAGCCTCTGGTTGCAGATACTCCAGTCCAAATGCTGTAAGCAGAATGACTGCAATCAATCACTCCACCAGGGCAAGATAATAAGTCCAATAATTCCAACAAGGCAAGATACGTGCACAGAAGCATAGCAATAATTCAGTCAGGAGGAATGCCAGGAATGTAGGGTAAAACTGTCAACACTAGATGAATTCAGTGTTTGTTCCCGACAAATGCCCCTCCCAACTGCCTCTCCTTTAAACTCCATCCCCAGGTGTGCCTTGTGGAGGGAATTGGGGCCCTTTCCTTCCTCATAAGCCATGCAACCCACATTGCTCTGTTCTGTGTTCTTCCCTGCACACCCAGGATGAAGAGGGCATGGGCTTTGGTCTTCATCTGAACCCCCTTTCCCTTGTTCTACCTCTTCCCTGCTCTGCCCAGCCTGACTTTGCCCTTCCCAAGTTTCCTCCACAGCCAGTGGAGCCACTCTCCCGCCCTCTGTCAGCTGTCCGTCTTCCCCCTCAGATTCAGACTCCGGCGGGGGCATGATATCTACCATCACTTTGGAGTTGCTACGCTTCCACTAGAGACCTATGTCCAACCCCCCCAGTGAGTTCCATTGACTCTTATCTAGTACCAATTTGCTTTGACGGTTACTAGATCAGATTCTTAGCCTGAAATAAACTCATACTCCTTTTGAACTCTACCGTGCCTCCTGGTTTCTTGCACCTGACATGCGGCAACTTGAAGATAGCAAATATTCATCAATAACTATAGATATCTGGTTGGTCTTGCATGCTAATAACCATTTGCTTTAGGATTTTCTTGCATTTTCCCCTTTTATTATTGTATCATGTGCTGGTTTTTTTATTGTGCTTGGTCTTGGACCATGAATGGATTTTGATTGATTGATTGATTGGTTGATTGATTGATTGGAACAACACAGGGGAATTAAACTGTGGTGGTATTTTCTTACTGGGAAAGCTTTACTCAAAAGTAGGACTGATTGTCACTTTTATTTCAATGCCAATTTTAACTGACTTCTCCCAATTATTTCTTCATTATGGTGCTGGTTTGTTGGCTGCTCTGTTGTTTTTATGCTTAATTTGTTTTTATTTTTTCAGAATGTTCCACTACTTCAGGAATGAAACCTAATTTGATTTTTATGTCTCTTGCAATCTGCCTGATGGGTAGATTGATCATACGGATAGATAAATAGACCTTAACAGCTCAGCTTGGGCCTTCAGATAGAATTATATATTTCTGTCAAAACATCATTTAACCTTTAAAAAAAAGTGGCTTAATTTATTGGAATTTAGAGAATGTTCACATCCAGTATTTATTTATTTTTAGGTGATGGAATATGAAAACAGGATTCGTGCTTACTCTACTCCTGATAAAATCTTTCGATACTTTGCCACATTGAAAATCATCAATGAGCATGGAGATTCAGAAGTATTTATGACCCCACAAGATTTTGTGCGATCTATAACACCAAATGAAAAGCAACCAGAAAGTAAGTCGCCTTGGATACTGTGATGGAAAATAGAAGGCTGGGAGGCACACCAGTAATCTTGGTTATTTCCTTTTTTGTAAAAGCTACTGAGATTGATCTCCTGTAGTTGTGCAGTTTGATGCCAGAGATCATTTCTCAGTTTCTCCCATCTCATTTTTAATGTTCTGCAGCACATGGTTTTAAACTATTGCTGAGGTAATCTTTAGTAATGGACTAAAACTGCCTTATAAACGTTTTTATTGCAGTTAAGATCTAGCCAATGTGTTGTAAAAATAATGTGGGTAATTGGCACTAAAGTTTTTTATTAAGGTGCATGACTGTGAGCATGAAGCTTTATGATAGTTTTCTCTAGCTTAGTATCTGCCATATTTGTTGGTCTATCATTCACATTATCTGCAAATGGTCTTGTGGGAGACACCTATAAGATAGAGATATACATCAATATGAATCACTCCAATGGAGAACAAAGGTCTTCATTGAAGGTCATCGACTAAACTATGGTTCAGTGCAGCACAGTATCATACTATAGCCGTGATGGCGAACCTATGGCATGCGTGGTGGAAGGGGCACGCAGAGCCATCTCTGCCGGCATGTGAGCTCAGTTCTACTACACATGCGTGTGCGCTTCCTGCCAGCCAGCTGATTTTCGGGTATCTGCCATGCATGCGCAGGGGGTGGGGTGCATGCAGGAGATGCATGCGCAGGGGGGCAGGGGGAGCGCGGGAGGCATGCGTACATGCACAGAGGCAGGGGAGTGCGGGGGGTTGCGTGCATGTACACAGGGGGGCAGGGAGAGTGTGGGGGTTGCGCACGCATGCGCAGGGGCCAGGGGAGTGCAGGGGGATCGCACGGGCATGAGCAGGGGGATGGGGGAGCTCGGGGAGGGGTCACTTGCATTACGGGTGCAGGCACGCAGGCACTTTTGGTACGCAACGACAAAAAGGTTAGCCATCACTGTACCATATCATCCAATATGGCATTTTGAGCCTCCATTTTCCCCTCCCAAAATTAGTTTCTTCCTGAAAGGAAAGTGACCAGTAAACATGAATGAATAATGGCAACAGTTGTATGAATTTATTGTGACTTTTAATCTACAGAAACGTGGCACGCAGATGTCAAAATGATCACTCAATGTTTATTCAACACAAAACAGATCAATTTGCATATTTTGGATTACTGGTTCCTATTGTGCTGGCTAATGACTGCAATGAAGTGTTTCATGAATTAAATCAGTATTATTGATTTTTTTAAATTAACTTAATATTAAACCTACGTGTAAAATCATAAAGTTGGAAGACCCTTGGAGAACTTCTAGGTCAGGGGTGTCAAACTCAAGGCCCCCAGGCTGAATCTGGCCCATGGGGTGCTTAGGTCTGGTCTGCGGGGCTGCCTGGGAACAGCGAAGGACCAGCCCATGGCACCTTTGCCAGCGAAAACAGAGCTCCATTTTTGTTGGCAGAGCGCTCGGACCACCACCGGCGCCCCCAACATGAGTGATGTCAAGCTGGCCACGCTCGCCCCCCAGGTCAAACACAACCCTGATGTGGCCCTCAATAAAATTGAGTTTGACACTGTTGTTCCAGCTCATCGCCCATGAAGGGTACCTTCTTTCTGTGATAACTATGGGGTGTGGGGGTGGGGGAATTAAGTAGTGTATCCTCTACTTAAAGAAGAAAAATTAAAGTAGTGTTTCCTCTATTTCAGTGTTTCTCAACTTTAGCTGCTTCAAGATGTGTGGACTTCAACTCCCAGAATTCTACAGTCAGCCATGCTGGCTGTGGAATTTTGGGAGTTGAAGTCCACATATCTTCAAGCGTCCAAGTCCACATATCTTCAAGCGGCCAAGGTTGAGAACCACTGTTCTACTTTCCCAACCCAATATGCTGGCTAGGGAATTCTGGGAGTTGAAGTCTACTCATTTTAAAGCTGCCAAGTTTGCAAAACACTGCTCCATACGTTCATTAAGCAAAGCATTTTGTATTCTCTTAATGGCAACTACTTATTTCCTTCCTTACCATATGAAAGGAAGGACATAATTTTTTTCTCTACAGGCCAAACTCTGATTCCATCCAAGTGTGCTGTTTCCAGGTACATGATTAATGATTATAGTAGCTGGGAAATGACAGGAGTGCACTGAAGGTAACATAGAGAATCAGAGTCGGGGGTGGGTGGGTGGGAGACGCATACCTAGCTGCAGGTAAAAGATGATATTGTTAGGAGGAGGTAGAGTGATTAAAGACAAAGATTTATTACAGAAACCTGTAAAACTAGATAGAAAATTATTATACATTAAAGTTGCTTTCCTGTATTTTTCATGTTTGATTTGATGGTTAAGGCTTAAGTGATGCATTTTCTTTAAAGAAACCACCAAAATGCCATTTCCAAATATGCTAATAAACCTGTTTGTTTTTATTCGCAGATTTAGGTCTTGATCAATTTGTGGTGAAACGCTATGATGGAAAGGTGAGATTTCTTAAATCTTTGGATGCATGTTAATTATATTTCTAACAATGGTGGAGTGAGGAGGGGGATGGGGAGAGGAAAAAGATGTCGTAGTCCCCCATTCCACGGATAAAATAAGTAAAGGCCTGGCATTTTTCAAGCAGACAATATTCTTTTTTTTTTGGCTCATAATAATGAATGCAACTACATCTAAATTCTAAGGATTTTTTTTTTTACTGACTCTTATGAGACTCTAGAAAGCAACATCATGCTTCAAAGTAAAAAAAAACAAAATGGCCTGCTCTTCTGCTAGTTGTGCTGTGTCATTGCAGCAAAATAGCTACCGTACTCCAGTTTCCACTTCGTTATAAAATTCACATATACAAATTTTCAGGAATTTATTTTTTCCTGCCTCAAAGTAACGGAGTATTTAAAGTGGCCCTCATTTTTCTGTTGAAAACGGAAATAGGAAGGTGTGCCCTTTGCTAACCTATTCATTGCACTGGGTATCAATATCCAAATTCACTGTTTATCTAAGGACTACAGTGAATTAGGAATTAGGATATTGAATTAGGATATTGATATCCAGCGAGGGTACAGTGAATAGGGTAGCAAAGGACACACCTTCCTATTTCCATTTTGAACAGAGAAATAAGTTTTAGAATTTGTGTTGTTCTTTCTTTCTTTCCTCTGAGGCGGATTTCCCTGTTTTTTCCAGAGACAGGATAGTGTTCCTACCGCCTGCTTAGGGATAGCAGAAAGAAGTCTTAATATGTAGCCACATTATCTTTCCTCCATGTCCTCCTGCTCTTGTTCTGCTTATCAGCATCTCTGGATGGGCGGAATATAATAATTTAAGTTGTCATTGGTGACAGCTTCAAATGCATTCAATTTAAGGCCCTGCTGCCAGCTTTTATCAGACTGACTGGTAGAACAAGCAGATTAAGACAATTATTGGTTATTCGGGAGTGTGGCATTTAATATTTAATATCAGTCTCGGAACGATCAACTTCCTTGTTTGAGAAAAAAGTGCAGGTAGTCCTCAATGTACCCCCCCCAACTGAGACCAGAATTTCTGTTGCTAATCAAGATAACTGTTGAGTGAGCCGCATGCAATTTTATGACCGTTTTGCTATGGTGGATTAAGTGAACCACTGCCGTTCTTAAATGAATCCCATGTCCATTAAGTAAATCAAGCTTCCCATTGGCTTCGCTTGTCTGAAGCGGTCTGGGAAGATTACAAATGGTGATCACAGCCCATCCCCATGCTGCAACTGTCATAAATACATGCCAGTTGCCAAGTGCCCAAATTTTGATCACGTGACTGTGGGGTTGCTAAAACAGTTGTAAGTGTGAAGAGTGGTTGTAAATTACAAGTTGAGGACTACCTATGTAATTTAAAGGGTGTAGTCAAAGTACCGTCAGTTTTTAAAATGGGTACGCTGCTCTTTGAAACAGGTTTCTCCAAAATGCTCCAATGTAAGACTTATGCTATTTGCCCACATATATACAGGCTTGTTCATGTTTTCCTAGTGTGTAGTAAGCACGTATGCTGTAAATAAGTACAACCGTTTGCCTTTTTCTGAAACACTGCATTAGATTTTTAGACGTTTATGATTTTATGGACCCTTGTGTCACCCAGTTTATTCTTTCATCATAGAAGAACAAGTGTCTTAGTTGTAGTTAATTTGAACTGGAATTGCAGAGCGATTTTAGATATGCTTGAAAAAACAGTTTACATATCTCTTCCTAAGAGCTCTGTTTGGGAGGGTGGGCTTGCTGAAAATTCAGGGTGCCAAGGACTTAACTTGAAAGATTTGGTTGTGCTGAAAAAAAGTAGATTTTTTTCAGTGGTTTCCCCATATTATTATTATTTTTTTGCTGATTTATCTATTCATATTACTTTCAAATTACTTTGCTTTTCTGAGTTTAATAAAACAGTTTCTCTTGGTATGCTTTGCAGGAGGGGGAAAACTTAAATTAGCAATATATGCCCAGCTTTCATTGTCAGTGCTGTGTACATATTTATATAAGTTGCTGCTTTTCCTTCAAAATCTACAAATATTTGAAAAGATTTTGACAGATGGTGTAGCTTATCAGGAGAAGTAATTATTTGTATGACCATGTCTGTGCCTTTTACAATACCCAGAAGGTGAGATGTTAGCATATATTTTAGTAGATTTGTTCTCCAGATAACTGGGCCAGCTGCCAAAGATATATTGGAATCTCAGGTTAACCATGAAGTCAGCCATTAATGTTTAAGTGCCAACGGTTAATTGGGTTAATTTGCAGTTCTGTACTGAGGTTAAAGTAGGTTCCAAAAGACCAACTGTTTCTCCAGCCTAGTTCCTAAGGTGTTTTAGGCTTTGATTATCTTGATAACATTGATAAGAGCCGTGGTGGCGCAGTGATTAGAATGCAGTATTTCAGGCTACTTCTGGTCTTCTGCTGATTGCCAACTGCCAGGAGTTCAGCAGTTCAAATCTCACCAGGCTCAAGGTTGACTCAGCCTTCCATCCTTCCAAAGTCGGTAAAATGAAGACCCAGATTGTTTGGGGCAATATGTCAACACTGTAAACTGCTTAGAGAGAGCACCATGAAGCGGTATATAAGTCTAAGTGCTATTGCTAAGTGCTGTAGATGTTTATTGTCCAACCTGTGGAAAACACCAAGCTGGAGAAGAAGAGGAGTGATCGGTCACTTTGTGCTATTAGGAAGAAAACATGGCCTTTTTTTTCTTACAAAAGTTCTTTTATATTTCAAACTGGAGGTGACGGTGGAGGGCAATCTTGTCTGCAACATCCGTCACCTCATTTTGACAGGGTTGACCCAGCTGATCTGGTTGGCTAGATGGTTGTTCCCTCTCTACCTCATTGCTTCAGAAGTGTTGTCTCACAGCTGCATGGTCACTGGAAGAGGACAACCAGATAGCAGATTATATGAATCTTTGCTCAAGAATGAACTCTATGAATTGTTGGTTTCTGTTGAAACTTGAAGGCTTCTTATTTTGTTGGCATAAATTTGAAAGTACTGAACTAGACTGTTATATAGATTCCTTCTGTTCTTGATATTGTAGCAGGCAACTGATAAATGCTATTGATTTCCTCCCCTTTATTTGTTGCTTCTAAGGAGTTCAGCAATTCTTTCTTCCTGAAATGTTAACTTACTATTCTTTTTATTCTGCCGTTCCTGCCTTTATGATGTACATGATATTTTTTGGTTGGTTTGTTTTTCCTATTGTTGTAACAAACCTTTGCTCATTTTCTTCCTTTTCTTCCTAACCTTTACCCCTCTTCTCAGGATTTTTGGCAGGTACTGACTTTGTCAGCATGTGCTTTAACCAGTTTGTGCTTCAGAACCCATATCCACCCCTTTTAAAAGGGACAGCATATACACACACACACACACATATTTACTTTTTTTCTCCATCACCTGTCTTAAAATAGCCGTTTTCTTTACTTGGATTGTGCTACTTAAACAAATTAAAATATGGGCCTTTCAAACTTTTATTGATAGAATTGGGAATTCATTGCTAAGATATTTCAGATATTTACTGTACAGTGGGGGTCTCCAACCTTGGCCACTTTAAAACTTAACTCCCAAAGCTGACTGAGGAACTCTGGGAGTTGAAGTCGACCAGTCTTAAAGTGGCCAAGATTGGAGACCCCTGCTGTACAAGTTTTTTTTTCTTTTTTCTTTTCTTTTACGTAAAGTCACTAGATGCCATTTCATTACTAGGCTTAACAGCTTCCTGGATGCATTTTATGAACATTTTCTATTCCTCGACCAAAATGAAATAATAATTTTTCTTTACGATGAGAGAAATAAAACACGTTGATTTAAAGTATTGAACATTTTATGTCCTGTAAAAAAATAGAAAGAAAAGAAAAATAGAAAAGTTGATATAAGGAACAAGGCTTTTCCTTGAGCACAGTTGTGTTCAGTATAGTACTGGAATATTTTTCCAATATAATCAAATCTCTATTATCAGTTACCTTAAGATAATAACTGTAGCTCCTTTGTCACATTTCATTCCCCGTCCCACACACAATTTTTACTGAGGAACAAGCCATTTGAATTAAAAAGGGGACACACATAGAAATCCACTGCTGGTTTTTAAACTGCGTTTCAAGACCATCCTATCATAAAAAGTGGTTCTCAGTAAATTATGAAGGAATTAGTAATGAGCTTTACAGAAGAGCTGTCTGTAATCTCTGTTTGAGATTACATTAAAACAGAGGTGTGCAATTAATTTTCCCAAGGGGACATATGAGAAACTGAGACAATTGTGGAGGGCCGAACCATGTGTAAATTGAAGAAAAAAAAATAGTTGTTTTCAAAATAAAACGATGGCCAGACAGGGACTACCAAAGGGCCAATTGTGGCAAGCAACTGTAAAAAGCACAGGTCTGCATTAAAAGCTGTTTTGCTGTTAACGTCTTTTTAAAAATGCAAATAGCATCAGAAAAAAAATGATAATTTGGACACTACATATAATGGAGAATAAATTATCTCCTCGGCTTTCTGAACCTCCAAGTGCGAGATTTCCTCCCAGTGCAAGTCCCACTATCAAAAGTGGGGGTTTTCTTCAATAGACATTTGGAGCACGGATATCACCCTTCCACAGTCTTTCTCCAATAGCCAACTCTAAAGGTAGTCCTTGACTTATGGCCACAATTGGAGCCGGAGTTTGTGTAAAGCATGAGTCATAAGACTACATCACTTAGTGATGGCAATCTGGTAGCCCTGTTGCTGTTGTAACTCCAGATCAGGGGTGGGGTTGCTGGGGGTTCGCAGGGGTTCGGGAGAGCCCCTAGCTAAAATTCTGTGCAGTTCAGAGAAGCCCCCAAATCCCACTCTTGGCTGGCCCTGCCCACCCCGCCTCTCCCAGGAGCCCCCACGCGGCTCGTTTTGGATGCAGGTAAGTGCAGGGTGCGTGCGGAGGCTTGGGGAGGGCAAAACACGGCCTCCCCGAAATTTGGGAAGTCCGGAAATGAGCCTGTTTCCAGCTTCCAGGGAGC